TATTTTTAACTCTTTGCCAAAAATATTTCTCCTAAACTATCCATCTTGAATCAATGAATACATCCACACACACAGAGTATATATCCTGCTTGCTGATAGTACTCCCTTAATGTCTGCTCTATTTGGCAACAGTTTGAAATTAAAATGGTACTGAAAAAGTAACTTTGCAACTGGTCTTCACACTTATGACGGTTGGAGCATCCCCACGGTCATGTGACCACAAGCAGAGTCAATGGAGAAGCCGGCAGTAAAATTGCGAGTTACAATCATGTGGTGTGTTGCTTAACAACCGCGGCCGAGGTGAGGCTGTAAATTTGTCATGGTCCTGTGATATCTCACTTAACAACTGTCATTAAGTGATGCAGATGCTACTCCTAATTGTGGTTGTTAAGAAAGGACTACCTGTAGTAATTTTATTCTGAAACCACTCTATATGCTCATGATGTCTGTCTGTCTGTCTGTCTGTCTGTCTGTCTATCTATCTATCTATCTATCTATCTATCTATCTATCTATCTATCAACACATATACACATATACTTATAGACATACGGTATTTACGCATATATGGATATGTCACATACCGTATCCAGATAATACACTTATTTTGGATCCACTCTATATATTCATAGTACTCCTTGGTGAAACTTCTATTGTTCTTGCATTCATAGGAGAGCCCGATGCCTTCATTCTTCATTTGAATCTTGTGTTTTCCATCGCCCCTTTCATCTTTTATTTTTAATCACACACGCGCAAACACATACAAATCTGATTAAGGGGGAAAAGGTATACAAGATCATTGGATTCATGGTAGTAAGAGCTTTTGGTCAGGAAGATTTCTTGTCATGTTGGCATGGACTCTCTGAGGCCGCTTATTGGGGCTCCTGGGTGGCACCCATCCTATGTGAGCTGCTTAGAGGGACTCTGGTAACAGGCAGCATCCACAAGGAAAAGAGGAGGAAAGAAGTACAGTAGGGCCTATTTCTTTATATCTAAGATCATGGATTTGGCTCAGCAATTTGGGCCAGACAGTGCACTCCTTTCTGCTTGAGAGGCAGCATAATAAAGGCCTGGCAAATATTACTCTATGCAATTTAAATGCTCACACAGGGTCAGTCCATTATTATCTAATAGATCTTATCATATCTGATACAATTAATCTGATCCTATTTTTTAATCCTGAATTTCTTTTCTACTCTCCCAAATTAGGTTTAAGAGTGCTATTGAATAGATTAATTTACAGAATGTGAGGTTTAAGAGCCTTCTCGCTAAGTTTAGAAGCTCAGGATGTGTGCAAGGCAAACATTAGTTTGGCCTTTGCTTTCCAGGTGTGCTGAATAGAGTGATCCAAGTTAAAGGGTCTATACATACAGATGATGATTATGATTGCACAAAAACTCATTGAATGACCTTCAACAAGTTTCAGCTTCTTGGTACTAACTAACTCATACAGTGGTTAAGAGCATTAATAGACATTAATACTCATAATTTTACAGGGATGTAAAATATATCCATGATGGATTTTCTTCTTTATAAATGTTGTAAAGGAATTAGCTGCAGGTCAGACATTTTATGATGGACTGTTTCCGCTTGCATCTCTATTTATCCCTGATTAAAAATTGCAAATAAATTTAATATGATTGCAAAAATGCATCCAAAATGTTCCTCAAAGCTCAATGAGGAAAAGTTAAAAAAACAGAGTGGGGAATTTTATCTTACAATGACTGATAATTACGCTGCTTAACATTTTAAAAAAGAGGTTTCTTCAAGAAAATTATATTTAAATGTATGTAAATCGAAGGAAGCGATATACATAAATGTTAGGGGGATTTATAGTTGACATTTTTTGCTCGATTATAAAAAAAACAAAAGAAACCAGCAGTTCAGAACATTGTTACCATGCAAGCAGAAAAACTGTCAGAATTTGTAATGACCTCTGCATCAGTGAACTATTCTAGAAGTGCCTCACAATTATTTTTATATAGCTGAGATATTTCCATTCGGAAATTTAGAAGTTCTGTAAGCCCAACAAAGCAGAAGCCTTGTATTTTGACGGAAATAAAAGGGGAAAGAAATTAGCCAAGTGCAATGCCTCTCAGTCTTTTTTCCTCAGCTTTTTTTTCTTAAAAAGAACTTTAATTATCAACAAATGGCAATTAATTTCCTGTCATGTAAGGACTGCACTGTAATAGCCCATCACCCATGACAAACGATGCTGATGGTGCATGATTGATTTCAAAGATAAGACTCACTTTGCTGCATAGAGTTTGTGATTGCAATTAACTTGGCCTTTTAATTATAGATTAATGGATGAATTATTTTAATCACAACTATATGTCTCAACTTCTTAACAGTAGTTTGTACATTTGACACAAAGACAAGAACTTCAAACGGATATTAAATACGAGCACAGGAACTTTGCCAGCCCGGCACTAAGGGAAGCTGTTGAATCTAACCTGTTATTTTGGAAGGTTCAAAATCCCAAACGCACACTCTGGATTAGTGTCCTGACTGTGGTTTATCAAACCAGCTTTCTCCTTCTTAATAATTCTTCTCTATCATTTGTTTAAATACTGCACGCTATATAGCTCCAGATGGATAATTACACAGCTTCAGGTATTCTCTTCTTCCTGCCTTTGAAATATTTGCTTTGAGGATCTTTTGGGGGAGTGGGGGTGGGTGGGGGGGAAACAGATGATGATGATGATTAGCTTGCTACTTGATGAGCAGTACATAAAGAGGCAAAGCATAAAGTTCCCTATTTTACGTGTCTTGCCAAGAGTAAAAACAGAGATGATGCTGATTCCTCTCCAAGCTATCTGAAATACCAATTCTGGAATTAGCACATAGATAATTTTAAATAAAATCACTTAGCGCACTTGAATTTAGAACCCAACAAATGCAAAATCTACTGGGCACTTTGTGTTGCTGAATAATATCACAGCCCAAGTGCCTCTTATAAAAGATATATTTTTAAGCTAATCGGTTAAGTGAATCTTTCTGAGTGTAATATCAACTAGACAAATTGAGGCAGATTTAACCTACGACATTTCAAACAGAAATATGCAAGTTCTAGAATGGACTGAATGAGGCAGAGCCAACTGAATTGAAATCTAGAAAAAACAGAAGTTCTAAAGCAGTCATGTCAAATTGCCGGCCCATGGGCCGGATGCGTCACACCAAAACCGCGCCCAAAAAGGCGCGATACATTGCATGACATCACATGACATCGTGAGTTTGACATGCCTGTTCTAAAGATTTCCACCTACATTCTTCCTGACCTTCCTGGATTTGGTGATAGTTCTCCATGCCTTGATTGGATTACATATTTACTGTTAAAGTGTTCTGTTATATACATGTTTTAACTGTTTTATAATTTTAAAACTGTACACTTCCCAGAGACACTTGGTTGAGATGGGTAGCTATAGGGAATAAATGAATGACTGAATGAATGACTGAATTTATTTTATTTTATTTTTAAAATTTATAAACCGCCCCACTCCTGCAGGACTCTGGGCGGCTAAAAATAAAAACAACATAAAACATGACAAAACAAACAGTACAATAACAGTCATCCAGGGGTCAGATTTTATAAACCCCAGGCCTGCCGGAAAAGCCAGGTCTTAAGCAGCTTACGGAAAACCAACAGGGTGGGAGCAGTCCTAATCTCTGGGGGGAGCTGGTTCCAAGACGTGGGCGCCATCACAGAGAAAGCCCTCCTCTGCGGCCCCGCCAAATGGCACTGGTTGGCCGACGGGACCTGAAGGAGGCCCAGCCTGTGGGATCTAACCGGACGAAGGGAACTATGAGGTAGTAGGCGGTCTTGCAAATAGCCTGGCCCTGAGCCATATAGGGCTTTAAAGGTAATAACCAACACCTTGAATTGGACCCAGAGACCAATAGGCAACCAGTGCAGCTCACGGAGGATAGGTGTAACATGGGTGTATCGAGGAGCACCCACTATCACTCGTGCGGCTGCATTCTGGACCAACTGTAGTCTCCGAATACTTTTCAAGGGTAGCCCCATGTAGAGTGCGTTGCAGTAGTCCAAACGTGAGGTGACAAGGGCATGAGTGACTGTAAGGAGAGCCTCCCGGTCCAGGTAGGGTCGCAACTGATGCAACAGATGAACTTGTGCAAAGGTCCTCCCAACCACAGCCGTCAAATGATGTTCCAAATTCAGCTGTGGATCAAGGAGGACACCCAAGTTGCGAACCTGCTCCGAAGGGGGTACATTTTTCCCCGCTAGAGTCAACACTGGACAGTCGACATGATCCTTGGGAGGCAACATCCAAAGCCACTCGGTCTTGTCAGGATTGAACCTGAGTCTGTTAACCCCCATCCAGACCCTCACGGCTTCAAGGCAATGGCCCATCACATCAGAATGACTGACTGACTGAATGAATAGGGCTGCCTTTGGAAAGAATCTTGAACTTGCAGGTGGAATAAGTAGGCTGCTAACCTGTGCAATGGATAGGAATCATATAATTCCAATCTTGAAAAAACTGTTTACCAGTTGCTTACGTGACACAGTTTAAGTGTTGTATGATATTGTACAGATATTTCAAAGCACAAGGTTCATAATGGGATTTTTTTTGATATTTAGACAGGATTGCCCCTTCCATTATGAACTTGTTCAGTTTTTAAGATTTTCAGGAGAATTCCTTGTTGTAAGGGATCTATTTTTGGGATACCTGAGAAACAGCCTTTTTGTCCTAGTCCTTGGCTATGGGAGAAATTGCATTTGGCTCCTACTGTCTTAGTATTCAGGTGATCCTTAAAAATATAATCCTTTCACTGTGCATTTTAATATTTGATGATTTAGGATTATTTTTTATTTTAATTGCTCTCCCTTTAAGCCTCCCATAGAAGTAATATCCTCCACAAATTTGGAGGAAGATGAAAGAAACCGAAACCACATTAGGACCAGAAATGTTAGTTCTTGGAATCTTCTCCAGAGAAGAAAGGTGGGAAAAATTAAGTAAATGTATAATTGATTGAAGGTAGCAGTTTTGCAAATATCCTCATCGGAGAACTGCATTAAGCAGTGTTGATCTAAATGAACCAGTCTTCTTATTCCTTATAAGTCTCTTCTACCTTTGAATCATTATTCATCCCCTAATATTGAAATTAATAACTTCCATTTATTCAAAAAGCAAAAAATTCTAAAGATTTTTTTCTTTTAACAACTCTGTAATCCCTTTTATCGGCGGTTAGTCAGAGTGACTGAATACAGCTCAAGTGTTTACTGGCCAGATGCCCTTCCTGACACCTATGTGGAGTTAGCAGGACATTGTTAGATGTATTTGTGCTATGGGGAAAGTCCACTGAAAGTACATAATAGAGAAAAAGAGTTTAAAACAGCCCTAAAAACTGTTGGTCAGAGTTGTTGATCACCATCTAAAGCACTGGAGTCTCCACATGTGACCTTATTTAGCCTTAAGTGCACAACCAGAAATACAGGAAAGTTACTGCTTGAATATAGTCTTATCAGCTTTATTTATGATGACCTTTTCAGAAAAAAAGAATATGCAATGACAATTTCTCTCCTTTCTCTCTCTTTTCATCTGATTAACCAGGCAATTACCTGTGCATAGGAAGTGGTAGGTAAATTCTACCACATGAAATGCTCTGCAGAATATTCACTATCTTCTTTAAGCTAATTTCATTGGCTTATTCTTACCTCAGATCCATCTCTTGTGACAAAATTTGTTCATATCTAAGCCCACATTTTAGATTGAATGTTGTGTTGAGTTTACCTTACCTACCGGTAGGTCTTAATTCATACAATCTTAGAAACCTCCCCAGCAGGGGGATTCAATCTTGAGACTTGATTATGCATCCTGGCTACATTCCAGAGCTGTGGTAACTAGGAGATGAAAAGATGTTGGAAGTCTTTGAGGTCACAATGGCCAGCAGCATCAACATGTAGTCACAGAAGACATTTCACTGAGGGAGACAAAAGTTTCACTGAGGGAGACATAGTTTCTGCTTCCCTTTTTGCTGAGGCAGAAGAAGCAAAAGCATGTGGATACTACTGTTCACTGAAGAAATCAACAATAGAGGTACACATAGAATGGAAAATATTTAAGTTGGCTGTGTTCATGAAGTCACAGTCAAATTTGATTTGAAAGAGATCTTATCTTTTTAATAAGCAGGAATATTTTGCTGAAATGGCAGTCAAGAAAGGAGTAGAGAATAAGACTTCTGATAAAGATGTGGTGAGTTAGATGTCCCTGAAGGAGTGGACATTATGGCAGAAATCAGCAGCCAAAGCAGTGGTGGAATTCAGCCAGTTTGCACCAATTCAGCAGAAACGGTAGCTAATTTTTTGTTGCCCAGGCCCAGAATGGACTTCCGGAAGCGGCATCCACACAGAGAACCGGTTGTTCACATATTTGAATCCCACCACTGAGCCAAAGGATAGATACTGGTCAACAAAATCTCTTCAGAGAAAGGAGAGATTGTAATATCAGCCACATGTACTCCAGACAACTGCACATCATGAGTAGATTGCAGATACTGAGGTTTTTGTGGCTGGCTGGTGAGTTGAATGGCTGGGAGTCAAGAGATTCCAACTAAGCTCACAGTTGCAATGTATCCTATATGGATATTAAATTTGGCCAAGCCTCATTTCTCAATCACTTTTGGAATTACTTTGTTACTGCTTTTCAAATATTAAGAACTTTTGGAAAGACCAGTTTTATGGCATTTAGTAGGTGAGTTAACTTCAATCCTAAATCTTAAGTATGGATTTAGGAAAAAAAAATCTCATTTTTGGAGGGAGGAATGAATGGCAAATAATAGACTGTAGTTTATTTATTTATTGAAATGTACTAAGGGTCTGGTGGATTTGAAATAAGATTTTGAGATTAATTATAAGAATCATGCCCATGGGAAATGGCTATTGTTTTGAATTCTGAAAAAAGAAAGGGTAGGATTTTGAAGGTTGGACACTAGAGAGAATCAGAAGGAACTAAATGAGAAGAACACTTACATTCATCTTGCTAACAGAGAATGAAGCAAAATACATTGGTATTGAAGTATATTTTTCAATAAGAGACTCAAAAGTTAATTTTAAGAATGTTATCATAGATAGTCTCTGTGAAAATGATGTTAATGGAAGCAGAACAAATTGTATCATAGATCACTGAAATTGATTTAAATTAAATTAAATTAAAAAATGACAGGCTTTCTCCATTCCACTAAAGGAATTCAGCTCTTCCTTCCATGTGAAAGGAAATTATTTCACCAGTATGCAGAAATAGCAATAGCACTTAGACTTATATGCAGTTTCATAGCACTTTACTGCACTCTCTATTGCCCCCAACACTCTGAGTCCTCATTTTGCTGACCTCAGAAGGATGGAAGGCTGAATCAACCTTGAGCCAGTGGGGATTGAACTCCCGGCAGTGAGCAGAGTTATCTGCATTCTAACCATGGCACTCAAATTATCAGGATATGAGCTACATTTCTCCACCCCACTGAAGGAGTTCAGTTCCCCTTGACTGGCAGCTGTTTCATCCATCTCCCAGAGGCAAGAGGGAATCCTCTTTTTAATTGTTAATTTTTAAGATAACCTTTATTGTCATTTTTTTACTGTGGGCACAATGGCACACATCAAAAATGAAATTTAGTTGCCCACTCTCAAAGTGAAACACATACATGACACACACCTCAACATACTATATACAACATATGTTGTATATAGTTTTGTTAAACTTACTGAAGTATAAAATAGAAATGAAAATGAAAATAGTGGCAAAATAGAGGGAAAGATATGTCAGGTAAAAGGGGAAAAAGAAAGAAAAGCATTGACTTCCAACTCCTTTTAACTCAACAGAATAAAATAATAACATTACAGTCTATACTTTTTACTTTTACATACTTAATATGTACTAGCCAGTTCTCTAACAACAAACTTATCTAATCAGCTAAACCAAAAGTCAAGATTTCAATTTTTTTCCATCTGAAGCTAATCTGAAGCACAAAATCCGGAAGCGGTTTCCAAATAGAAACAAAATTGGATGTGTTCTTTTTTTTTGATTAAAGCAGTTAATTTAGCCTTCTTTTCTAGTTCCATCAATTTTTCCAACCATTTGTCCATTGAGGGAATTAAAGTATCTTTCCACAAGAAGGAATCATCTTGTAAGGTGGCAGCAGGGGTTGCCACAAAGAAGAGAGAGTCAAGCTATTCTCCAAAGCACCTGAAGGCAGGACAAGAAGTAACTGATGGAAATTAATCAAGGAGAGAAGCAACCTAGAACTAAGGAGACATTTCCTACAGTTAAAACAGTTAATCAGTAGAATAACTTGCCTTCAGAAGTTGTCGGTGCCCCACCACTGGAGTTTTAAAGAAGAGATTGACATCATTTGCCTGAAATGATATACAGTTTCCTGTCTGAGTAGGGGGTTGGACTAGAAGACCTCCAAAGTCCCTTCCAACTCTGTTATTCTTTTATTATGCCTCAGTGGAGCATCAGCCTGCAGAGGAACCACTAGAGAAGTCAAAATGAAGATAAGATGACAACAGGTAGACACAGAAAATGAAAGAAAAGGGGGGAGGGGGAAGAGAAGAGAGACCCCAAAAGAGCTGTTAGAAAGACAGGAACTTTCCCCATGATTCATATTAATGATATCTAAGATATTTTTATACTGGCAAAAAATTTGCTGCCTCACGTCCCCCATGTTCTCTTTTTCAGGATTGCAGAGAATGGTATTACCTTTATTTGCTGTATGGAGGGCATATTAATGAAAGGAACTAACACAATAATAATAATAATAATAGTAGTAAAGTTGGAAGGGACCTTGGAGGTCATCTAGTCCAACCCCCTGCTCGGGCAGGAAACCCTACACCATTTCGGACAAATGGCTGTCCAGTCTCTTCTTAAATACTTCCAGTGTTGGAGCATTTACTGCTTCTGGAGGCAAGCTGTTCCACTGATTAATTGTTCTCCCTGTCAGGAAGTTTCTCCTTAATTCTAGGTTGCTTCTCTCCTTGATTAGTTTCCACCGGTTGCTTCTTGTCCTGCCTTCAGGTGCTTTGGAAAATAGCTTAATTCCCTCTTCTTTATGGCAGCCCCTAAGATATTGGAATACTGCTATCATGTCCCCCCTTGTCCTTCTCTTCGTTAAACTAGACATACCCAATTCTCGCAACCGTTCCTTATATGTTTTAGCCTCCAGTCCCCTAATCATCTTTGTTGCTCTTCTCTGTACTCTTTCTAGAGTCTCAACATCTTTTTTACATCGTGGTGACCAAAACTGGATGCAGTATTCCAAGTGTGGCCTTACCAAGGCATTGAAGAGTGGTATTAATACTTCACGTGATCTTGATTCTATCCCTCTGTTAATGCAGCCTAGCACTGTGTTGGCCTTTTTGGCAGCTGCAGCACACTGCTGGCTCATATTTAGGTGATTGTCTACTAGGACTCCGAGGTCCCTCTCACAGTTACTACTATTGAGCATGGTGCCACCTATGCTGTACTTGTGCATTTGGTTTTTCTTGCCTAAATGTAGAACCTTGCTGGAGTATTTTTCCTTCCCTTCCACTGAATATCACCAACTAGTGGGAGAATTTCCCACTAATCGGCTTAATGAAGAATGATATTAGGACTGACTCTGGAAATGATAGATGGCAAAACTGGTGTTCTGCAAAAGTTTTGAGAATCGGACTAACAGATGGTACTCCGATGAGGCTGTTCTTATGAAGCCTATTTGCAACAAAAGCAAGTTGTCAGGCATTGGTGGTAGGATGAAAATGTATTTTTACTTTGTAAAATTTCTCTCCTTGGTGAGAAGACACCACACATACATGAAATGAATATGTCTAAATGGATATTCTGAATGTAAGTCTATAATAAATGGAAAAGTAAGTAGATTTGGGTAATCTTTGAGATGTTTAGATAGGGCATTTTTTAAAAAAAAATAATGTTCATGAGAATAACTTCCTTTCTAACTCCATCAAATCACACTGAATTTTATAAAATAGGCTTCAAAGCTGAGTTTTCTTAGTTAATGGGTTAAAAACATGATATATAAAACTGACAGATTCTACATCTTGGTAAGTTTTTTTTCAGAAACATGTAATTTTCTTTAATTAATTTACAAGCAATTATTTTTGACAATTGCTAACTGTTATGCCAGAGATATAAATAATCCATGACACATTTCTGATCCCTGCAACTTGGTATCTGAATAATGTGGAGAGGTGTAATTTACATCTGCAATAAAGTGGTGTCTGAAATAAAACAGTGGATGGCTATTTATGCATCTGTAAAGCAGTGTATAAAGCATGTACAAAATATATACTGATTAGATTAAAATTAAATGAAACAATATAGAAGTTCTATGTTGTGTTACTTGACGTGCCAAACAAAATCTTGTGGGGAATAAACAATCTATTTTGAGCCTCTTCATTCCAAGATCACTAGGCCTAGCATTGTACCTGTTACCCTGTTACAGTGGAAACCTGAAAGTAACTTTATATTTATTTATTTATTAGCTTTTTCAGACCTTGGTACTGCAGAGACAACCAGTTTTCTTGAATTCACTTGATAGTGATGATGATGATGATGATGATGATGAGAAGGAGGAAGAAGAAGACGAGGAGAAAGAGGTGGCGGTGATAAGGAGACAAAAGATAGATAAATACAGTGTTTTGGGTTTAGATTTTTCTGATTACTCCCCCTTATCTTTTGATATTAATACTGAAGCACAGACAATATGCCTTATACCATTTATCTCAGCTGATTGTCAGAACCCCAAATATCTGTATCTATAATACTGTACATGGATTCTATTGTTGCAACAGAATGAATAAGAGCTTTGCTCCATGCACTGGTTAAATTAAGTCAACCCTAAATAAGACCTCTATTCATGGACTGAAGAATGATGAAAGACAGAGGGAAGAGAAGACACAGAGTTGACAGCTAAGCTTGTCTCTGCTCTCTTAGCCAGCAAAGCTGACAAGTAGATTGCCCAGGACAGGCACTTACAGGTTAGCTTGTCAGCTACTGGAATGCCCTATTTTTTATCTGCCACCTTCATGGAAGACTTAAAAAAAAAAAAGGAGAGGGGATCTGTGCCCATCTGATGAGCTGGCTCATATTGGCATGTCATCAGCTTTTGCAGGATGAGAACACAGAGGAGGCAAAAAATTACAGTAGGATCTTTCATGTCCTTGTCGGATTTATTCCTTGGTCTGCAATCTTTGATGTTTACAGCAAAATACACAGCCGAATGTGCGGCCATAAAAGCAGTACAGGCAGCAATGAACATAAAATAAAACAAGGGTCGGTAGAATTCCAATACTATTAGTGGATTTGTTATATCTTTGGTTCTGGAAAATAAAAACACAGAAATCAATTTTAGGGCACTACCCCAGCGTCACTGTTTTCAGCTTCCGGCCCAAACAGAAGCAATATGAAGGCGATCTGTAATTGCTTTTCTTTCAACCAAGAGCAATTCTGAGAAAAAGAAGCAAAACTCAGTGTCCACGATGAGTTGTTATAATTTCTATATGTAATATGTTTGGATTGGATATGCAGGTCTCAGCTTGGAGGTCTGCAGATTGGAGAAAGTCTGGAACAAAGTTTCCTCTAGAGCACGGGTGTCAAACTCGCCATGTTACGTGACATGTCATGACGTATCACGGCTTTTTTTGCATTGCTGGAGCTGGGGTGGGCGCGGCCTCCACATGACGCAATTGGCCCCTGGGCCGGCAGTGTGATACCCCTGCTCCAGAGGGAAAATGGAAGGAGGGAGGGAGGGAGGGAAGGAAGGAAGGAATTCCTTGTGAATTGCATAAGTGCCAGAATGTGTTAAATTCAGTTAAAATATGTTAATGGCAAAAGAGCCTAATGAAAGAGAAGGAAGGATTGGGAGGTTGAAACACACAGAGAAGCTATCTTGTTGCTTCAAGCTGGAATGAAGATGAGCACATCAAACTTGCCTTCCTTGACCTATCTTTCTTGAGAGGAGGAGGAGTGTCTGAAATGGAGACCTTCTCCATCTTCACATGGATGAAGCCTCTGGAAAATTTAGACTTCTCAACCAGTGGAAAGTCACCATGGACAGAGAGTGGCATTACTGCAAAAACTCATCCTGAGTAATTGGGAAAGAGGGGAACTGACAAGTGAACAAACTTTGCATGGTGATTGAAGAGGACTATAATTAGTCAGCATTCTTTTCTGGGAGTAGGAGCTACTGAACCTGCAAGAGTAAAGTTGTAAAGCAAGAGTAGATTTCTTTGGGCCTGCAGCACAACACAAACCCTAGAAAGAAGGCCCTTACCAGCCCTATTTCTTTTCCCCAACAGAAGGATAGGAAACAAAACACAACTGATCAAAACTCAAGAATCTTTCCCCATGTTTCCATCCCAGCTTCCAATTTAGTAAGTCATACTAAAAAGATCTATCTCCAGCAATGCAGCAAAATAGGTATACTGATTTGGGATTAAGAAACCCTGGATTCATTAGGGCTTACCACAGGACAGCATACTTCCATTAATGCTTATTTAGCCCAAACGTTAAATTTCTCTCTGCATAAGTGCGCGATGCTTTTGTGTATGTGCAAGTGTGTGAGAAAGTTTCCTGTATGAGAAAATCACTTGGGTTCTACACAGTGCTTTTTTTCTAAAAAGAAAGGTGCCGGAACTCACACATGTCATACCTTGCCTACCCTACAAGGTTTACCTTTGTAGTTGAAAAAAAAAACCCTTCAGTTTTTAGTGTATCTAAAAAGCTAGGATTTTGTTGAAGGTAAGTTAATACTATTAATGTTACCATGCATTATGTGGCTTTAAATTACAAGAAGGCATTTAATTAATTTTTGGGGACATTTACCATTGGCATACTCATTTAGTTTAATGAGTGGAAATGTCAGCTTTCTATGTAGAATGAAATTGGCCCAATAAAACAAAATTTGGTTGCTTGTAAAAGATTGAATTATTTTTAAGAAGTTGTCAAACAAGGTGGCAAAATTTATTTTTGGAGTTTAATATGGATATTGACTTCAAACAAATTAAAGTTGAAACTTTGTCAGTGAACAGATTACTTTTAATTTACCTTTATGTTAAACCCAATTTAATAAATAGATCTGATTAAACCGCATACTGTAGGTCTACCTTTACATCTGACCAATACATAATTAATATCATTATTAATAATAAAACCTCCAAATCACAAGACATTGGCTTTATTCTTATTCTTCCCCTCTGCAGTTTGAATATAAAATATAAAAGACTAAAAAGAGATTTTCGTAGACATCCCAGCCTTTGAACTACCCAAGGAACCGAAACAGCAAAGTTTCACTGTCAGTCAAGCTTCCATGCTAGCCGCCTTTCTTTCCTCTTGCTTCGCTTCTTTTTAACTTCACACCCTACCTTCTGTAAGGAAAGGCAAAAGGCTCGCTCACCGTCTCATGAAAGATGGCCTCCATGTTTATGTGTCTCCCACCGCCACCATTGGCTTCCACACCACATGGTCCGACCCAGCCAATCAAGCCACGCTCTGGCTGTGGTGCTTCGGCGCCTCATGGCTCCTCTTAGAGGAGGCAGATAGTGCTGGAGGGGACCCTGCTTGCTCCATACCGCCAGCAGGGCATTTTCAAAAGCAAATGAGGATAGGAAGGGCAACAATAGGAAAAGAACAAAACTCTGGAAAATCCATCAAAAAAAAGGTGCCGGAACTCTGTTCTGGTGTGTTCTACGACAAAAAAAGCCCTAGTTCTACATAGGATGGGAATCACTTAAATTTGAAGTGTCTTATTTTAGAAGGAATTTTATTTAACTGGTAAGATTTCTTTTTTTCCTGGCTGTGTACCTCTGAGGAAAATGGTCCTTTGCCAAGTGTGCAAGGAATATGCATTTGTGTGCAGGTATGCATACAACCACATATATAGTGAGACTTTTCTGTCATATGTACTCACTTTTCTTGGGTGAGTGGGATTAAAAAATGTAAGTGATTTTAGAAACTGGCAGCCTTAATAGACACGATACAGCAGGTGGGCTGCATACAGAGTTTTTGTTATCATTTTTTTTTATTTTTTGCAAGAGAAATCAGCTGATAGGCTTCCTTTCAGGTGAAAACAGAAATTCAGAGGTAGAATAAGTTCATGATACCACTTGGCCCTAATTAGACCAATATAATCATTTACCACAGAAGACAGCTACTTTTGTGACTGGATAAAAAATTTCTAATAAGAAGAAGAGGAAGCTATCAAAAGATATCTCCAAGCTAGGCAAGTCAGGGGCCCAGTACCATAACATGAGAGCCACTGGCTAATGTTAATAGAACCTATTAGTATACTTTAGAAACACTGTATAATTGCATCAGATGTTATAATGTATGAACATAATGGTGTAATTCACATGATGATATAATTGCACATTTGCCACTATTCTGGTATCATTTTGGTTTGTTACAGATGCTGTTGCATGAACTACTCATATGTAGACAACGGGGAATTTAATTAGCAGCCCAGCTGGCATTTTGTATGCAGAAACCACCAACTTAAAACAGACATGTAAGAGTGTCCTTCCTTTTTGTGTGCAAGTTCACTTTGGCCTTATGAAGATTCATGAAAGTCAAAAACTTTCAACAACATTAACAATGCTGGTTGTTAAAGAAAAGATATCATCTCATCATTTCATGTCTTGATTTCAACAAGTTACAGAGAATTTTTTTAAAAAATGCCCCACCTAAATGTAGTTTTAGAGAAAAATTCCTCCCTTAGGATGGTGTATACAGTGTTTATACATTATGTCAGCAAAAGATGTGCAAGATATAAGGCTTTGCAGATTAATTACTTAATGGCTATGATACACTTTGAAGTTTGAAAGTGCTATGTAAATGTTAAGTACGATTACAGTGATGATATATTTGTGGTCCCTAACTTATTTCTCCTATTGCAGTAATTACTGATAAATTCTTCAAAGCCTCAATAGCTACTTCATAATTAGCCTCTCTGAACAAACATCTACCACACAATCAGGTGATTTTTCTCAGCTATAGTTTATACAAGTAACTAATCTTTGCCCTTTTAGGCAATTGTTGCCACCCTATTCATGGGAGTGAAATCAAGTAAGATTTTACCTGATTTAAGAATTCAAATCATGTTATTCCTGGATTCACACATCAAGGTAAAGCAGAATGTAGTTTGTTTGGCTTTGGTTTAGCGTATCATAAGAATTAGCCACTGTAGTTTTTAAGCCATTGCTTATGGTTTAATGTATTGTGGAAACCAATAATGTGCTTTATAAAATATACTTTATGGCTTTATACGTATGTGTTATGATTGATTGCACAAGCTATATTTTATATGATTGTGAACTGTGTCTATGTGAGATTGTGCTATATAATGCAGCAGCATAACTCAGCTTTATATGTCAATGCATCCGTTGTCGTCCTTAGGTGAAAAGCAAAGTAAGGAACGCCGGTACACACTGCACTCGTTGACTTCTTTATTTCAAATGTGAAGCAAAGTCAGCGCTGGGAGTGGCTTCCTCCCGGCGCATTATAATTGTGCGCCCCACCCTATATCCCTGCCCCCGGTCCCAAACCAGCATCCGGTCAAATTGTATAAGTGCCCCACCCTTTCCCTGTGCTCTCCCTTTCACCGACGGAATCCTGCCCTCGTAACCCCCTTCCCGCGCGTCTGATCCATGCAGCAGCCTCCCGCCGCCAAGCTCTCCCTGTCTAGCGTCCCCCCATATGGGTATGTCCCCCCCATCCCATGTCCATTCTAGGTCCGTGTGCGAAGGCATGAGGTTCTTTTCCGGCGGCGCCGCGCCGGCCACCACCCGGCTTGCCGGTCTCAGCTGAGGCTCGGGGACTTCCGTGCTTGCTAGCAACATATGGCTTTCGGGTGGTCCCGGGCTCGTTAACTCGGCGTTGCTCGTTGCCGCTGGTATGTTGGACTGTGGAGGCGTGTCCGGGACGTGATGCCAGGTTCGGCGATGCGGTGGGGTGGTGGGCTGCTCTGTGGCTTCCGAGCTTGGTGGACTGCCATCTGCTCCCCTGTCCCCTTGTGTATGGCAAGCCTTCAGGGCTTGACATGCGGCCCCTTCTACCAGGTTCCTTCCTGGAAAAGAAAGGATGGAGTTTGCATACACGACATGGCACCCATTTCGTCCTGGCTTCCCTGGACACTTACGGTGGAAAGCCCTGATTAGTTTGGGTGCATTTATATCCCCCTCCTCTACCCAGGTAGCATCGGAGAGCGGGTATCCCTTCCACCGTAGAAGGTATTGGATTTTACCGTACCGCCTTCGGGAGTCCAGGACCTCCTGTACCTCGTAATGGGACCCCGAGATTGGCCCCGGTACCCCATCGGTGTAGGGACTTCTATGTGCCGGTTTGAGGAGGCTACTGTGGAACACTGGGTGGACCCTTCCTAAGGAGGCGGGCAACCGTAATTCGACTGTAACTGGGTTGATCACCTTGGTTACCTGGAATGGGCCCACATACTTCGGACCCAGTTTTTTGCACGGTACTTGTAACCGCAAGTATTTGGTAGCCAAATACATCCAGTCTCCCACCTTGAATGGTTTATGCTCTGCCCTTTTCTTGTCCGCTTGGATCTTCACAGCTGCCTCGGCCTTCCGCCGCGCTACCTTCACCTGCTCCCAGAGCTCCGTGACTCGGGAGTACCATGTTTGAGGGGTTTGTCCCCTACCCACCTCTGGTGACCATTCGGGAATAGGGTTAAAATCTACACCAAATACGACTTTGAACGGGGTGTACCCGGTACTGCTGTGTACGGTGTTGTTATATGCCACCTCAGCAAACGGTAGGAGATCCACCCAGTCCGTTTGCTGAAATGACACATAACTCCGAAGGTATCTTTCCACCATAGCATTCGCTCTCTCAGCCGCCCCGTTGGTACTTGGATGGTACGCTGAGCTTAACGCCTGAGTTGACCCTAGTAAATGAACAAACTCCCTCCAAAATCGTGCAGTAAACTGCACCCCTCTGTCTGATATAATTCTCTTGGATGTACCATGGAGCCGATAGATATGTTGAATAAAGAGCCGTGATAAACGCCTTGCTGATGGCAGCCCTTTGCATGGAATAAAGTGCGCCTGCTTGGAGAACAGATCTATCACTGTCCAGATTACATTGTAACCTCGGTTTTCGGGTAGCTCTACTATGAAATCCATGGCGATCTCTTCCCAGGGCCGAGATGGATTGGACACTGCCTGTAACAGTCCCATGGGCTTTCCTACCCTGGGTTTCGCACTGGCGCACACATGACACCCTCGTACATATTGTTCAACATCTACTTTCAATCTGGGCCACCAAAACTGCCGCCGCAGTAAATGCAAGGTCTTTAAAAACCCAAAATGACCCGCCTGCTTGGCATCATGACACCTCCGAAGAACGGATGTACGTAGGCTTTCGGGCACATACATCTTGTCGCCTTTCCACGCCACGCCGTCTCGGTTGGTCAACCACCCTGAATGCTCGTTTGCCCACTTATCCGTCAAGAGGGCCGTCCTGATGGCCTGCAACTCGCTTCCTTGAGAGTTATGAATTGCACTTCTAGCTATCTCATGCTGAGAAAGGGGTATTACCGCCTGTATGACTTCCTCCCGTCTACTATGATATTGTGGCATTCGCGACAATGCGTCGGCCAGAAAGTTTTTCCCTCCCGGTACATACCTCAGCACGAACTTAAACCGGCTAAAGTATTGGGCCCACCGGACATGTTTGGGAGCCAATCGTCTTGGGGTTTGTAGTGCCTCCAGATTCTTGTGGTCCGTCCACACCTCAAAAGGCAACTCGGCCCCTTCTAAAAAATGTCACCAGGTCGCTAAGGCCCATCGGACCGCAAAGGCCTCCTTCTCCCAGACGGCCCAACTACGTTCAGCCGTTGTGAATTTTCGTGAAGTATACGCGCATGGCTGCAACGCCCCGCTATTGTTCTCCTGTAGCAGCACTGCCCCCACCGCCACATCGCTAGCGTCCACTTGGACCACAAATGGGACGCTTGGGTCGGGGTGGCGTAACACCGGCTCTTTAGCGAATAATGCTTTCAATAACTCGAACGCCTTTTGGCAGTTCATGGTCCATTCCAACTGTTGGCTTGGACGAGGATTCCCCTGCAAATGTTTCGTCCTTAAAAGCTCTGTGAGAGGCTGAACTACGGTGGCAAATGATGGGATGAACTGGCGGTAAAAATTCGCAAATCCGAGGAAGCTTTGTAGTTGGCGCCTAGTTTTGGGGGCTTGCCAGTCCAGTACTGCTTGCACCTTGCTCGGATCCATTTCCACCCCGTGCCTTGAGATACGATACCCCAGATAATCTAGTCTTTCTTGGTGAAACTCGCATTTAGATAATTTCACGTAAAGCTGGGCATCGAGAAGCTTCTGCAGTACTTGCCTCACAAGATTAATATGTTCGTCCTTCGTTGTGGTGTAAATTAAGATGTCATCTAGATATACAAGGACCCCGCGATATAGATGTTCATGCAACACCTGATTGATTAACTGCATGAACACCGCAGGGGCCCCTTGTAATCCAAACGGCATGACACGAAACTGGAAACTACCTAACGGGCAATTAAATGCCGTTTTCCACTCGTCGCCAGCCTTAATTCGTACTCTATAATACGCCTCTCGTAGGTCCAACTTAGTAAATATGCGACCTGTCCCTAAATGTGCCAATAAATCCTTCATAAGGGGTAGGGGGTATAAGTGCTCAACGCATACTGCATTCAACCCCCGGAAATCGACACATAAGCGTAATGATCCATCTTTCTTTTCCTTAAAAAGTACGGGTGCCGCTATCCGCGAACGGGCCGGTTGGATGAACCCCCGTGCTAAATTCTGATCGATGTATCTACGGAGTTCCTGCACTTCCGTTGGTGTCATAGCGTACATCCGGGGTTTTGGGAGTTTCACCCCCGGCAGTAGCTCAATAGCGCAATCTGTCGATCGGTGAGGAGGCAGTTGGTTGCAATCCTCCTCGCTGAATACGGCCGCTAAGTCCCTATACTCCTCGGGGTATGGCAGTTCCCCCTTCCTCTCCTGGAGCTGCGCTGTTGTTCCTGGGACATCAGGGGCCTTCTCTTCAGCATCGCCACCCACTGGCATTGGGCCTACCCCAAGACGTACGTGACGGTAACCCCCTCCCCACCATATAGTAGGAGTCCATTTATCTAACCAAGCTAGACCCAGTATAACAGCCTCTGTCATAATGGGCACTACGATGAAGCGTAATACTTCCCAATGCTCTCCCAGGTCCATGCGTACTCGTTCGGTAACATGAGTCGCTGGAACCCCTCCCAACAATGACCCATCCACCTGCTCGAACCTGATGGGTTGTGTTAATTTATATATCCGGAATCCGCTCTCCACCGCTACTTTCCTACTAATCAGGCATCGTGTGCACCCGGTGTCTATCAAAGCCTGACATGCCCTTCGTACGCCCGTTGCCGGACTCGTTAGGACTATAGGTAAAACAAAAGGCCTAATGGGTTCACTCACCATTGGATCAGTGGACCCATCGTCGGGACTGTCCTCGCCGCCCTCCATCTGGTCGCGCGCGACTGCCATGGCCTCTGGAGTTGCTGGGGACCCTCTTCTCGCTGCCGGGGTTGGTTGCTGGGTGGCAGCTCTCGAACCCTCAGCGGTGTTCTTCATGGGCGTTACTTTACTAACTGTTACGGCCTTACGGGGGCTAGGGGCCGGGCAATCGGCTGCTCGATGGCCCGGTTGGTTACAGCGGAAACAGCGGAAAACAGCCTCTCCCGGTGTCCCCGATGACTTGGGTGTTGCTCGTGGCTGGGCCTGACTTTCCTCACGAGGCCTATCCCCGAAACGCCGTGGCCGCAGAATGTCCCCGCCTCCGCGATGCACCTCTTTAAGGCCCGTCTCAAGCTCGACCACCACCTTGAACCAATCTCGAAGTCTGTTGGGCACTCCCCGGTATACGCAGGCCTGCCGTAGATCATGGTCTAGGCCGGCTCTAAAATGATGCACCAGCAGTCGCTCCGGCCATGAAGAATGCAAACGGCCGGCCATCCTCCGGAAATCTCGTACATATTCAATGGCCGGGCGCTTCCCTTGCTGCAGCGCTAGAAGTTCGGCCTCGGCTCTCTGTGCGCGAGTGGGGTCTTCGAACCTCCCGTGCAAAGCGTCCAAGAACAGCCCCGCGCTCCCCAACTCGCGGGCATGGTCGCTATATAGGTCGGCCGCCCATGCTGCCGCCTCTCCACGCAAAGCGGCGGTGACCGCGCCGACCATGGCCCACTGGGAGGCATATAATTGTGCGAACTGATCCAGGTGGCTTATGACCTGGCCCAAGAACATCGCCAGTTGATCCGGGTTGCCGTCAAACGTGACAGGTATAGGAGGGGCCCCCCACGGATTCCCTGGACCCCATGGCCCCAAGGGTTGGCCTGGCACGTTAGTAGCGTATCCCGTTACAGGTCCCCGCTGGCCTACACCCCCTGCCAGCTCAGGGCCCCCAACCACACCTCCGGGACCAACCGGCCGGGCCGGCTGCGGCTGACCTGGCGGGCTACCCGTAGGGAGACCCGTAACGGCAGGCCCACCAGCCGAATGCGGCAACCGCAACCGCGGGCTGCTTAGGCGAAACCGGGATGACGGAGTGCGCCCCGCAGAATCCTCCTCCGACTGCCAAACATTAGAGGCGCCCCTATAACTCGCCTCGCCGAACCTGTGCCGCAATATATCCATTGTTTCCTGGCCTGGAGCCATGGAATAGCTCCAGTCCTCGTCGTCCTCCGTGGTGACTCGTCTCTCCCTCCATCCCGAGTGAATGGGCTTCGGCCTGGGCGTTGGAAGCTGATCCGCCTGTCCTCCGGTCAGCACCGGGCTTTGCCACCACTCCTCCTGAAGCTTAGTGGCCCCGGGGTCCTCCACGCCAGGTCCCGGGTTTGTAGCTAACAATAATTTAGGCCGCACCACTGGCTGCTCGGCCGCCGGCTCCGGCACCGGAACGGCCTCCACGACTCCGTCAGCGCCGGCAGCCACCACCTCCCCCTCGACCAGGGGCACCCCCTGTGTGCCCTCTGCCATACCTTGCCCCTCGCGGCACACGGGAGGACGGAATACGGAAAAGGGGAGCGCTGACTTTCTGTCAATGCATCCGTTGTCGTCCTTAGGTGAAAAGCAAAGTAAGGAACGCCGGTACACACTGCACTCGTTGACTTCTTTATTTCAAATGTGAAGCAAAGTCAGCGCTGGGAGTGGCTTCCTCCCGGCGCATTATAATTGTGCGCCCCACCCTATATCCCTGCCCCTGGTCCCAAACCAGCATCCGGTCAAATTGTATAAGTGCCCCACCCTTTCCCTGTGCTCTCCCTTTCACCGACGGAATCCTGCCCTCGTAACCCCCTTCCCGCGCGTCTGATTCATGCAGCAGCCTCCCGCCGCCAAGCTCTCCCTGTCTAGCGTCCCCCCATATGGGTATGTCCCCCCCATCCCATGTCCATTCTAGGTCCGTGTGCGAAGGCATGAGGTTCTTTTCCGGCGGCGCCGCGCAGGCCACCACCCGGCTTGCCGGTATCAGCTGAGGCTCGGGGACTTCCGTGCTTGCTAGCAACATATGGCTTTCGGGTGGTCCCGGGCTCGTTAACTCGGCGTTGCTCGTTGCCGCTGGTATGTTGGACTGTGGAGGCGTGTCCGGGACGTGATGCCAGGTTCGGCGATGCGGTGGGGTGGTGGGCTGCTCTGTGGCTTCCGAGCTTGGTGGACTGCCATCTGCTCCCCTGTCCCCTTGTGTATGGCAAGCCTTCAGGGCTTGACATTATATATCAATTGTTCACTTTCCAAAAAGCTACAGAGGTTAATGTAGAGGCATGTACTGTACTTTCCAGAAGCTCAAAAAAGGCTTCTACCATTGTTTGTATACAAAGTTTTACATAATTGCCAGAGTTAAAGAAAGTGTATTTACAGACACTTTGGATACTATGAATTTAGATGATTCTTTGGGGATAAACCAGAATGCTCCTGCTGGGTCAGTTGTCAGGTCCACTTCAGATGTTGTTCCTATCAACTATGACTAACATTCCATCAAGATGGGTCGGTATATGGACATTGGTGGCATAATGAAAGCTAGGCTCTTTTAACTTAAAAGAGGGCAGAAAAAAATAGGTAAACAAGGACCCCTCTGTTCTATAGCCATTATGTGGAATAGATCTGGGAGGAGCTGAAGGACACTTAGTTCTAAACCATCATTGGAGGATTTCATGATCTCTTCTTTCTCTCTCTCTTTTGTGTTGTCAGGTGGAATGAGATAAATGGAGAGCATTGTTGAAAAAGAGAAAGTGACAGAAGGGACAAGTAGTCCTTCACTTACAACCACAATTGAGCCCAACCTTTCTGTTGCTAAGTAAGATATTTGTTAAGTGACTTTTGCCTCATTTTACAACCTTTCTTGACACAGTAGTTAAGTGAATCACTGCAATTGTTAAATTAGTAACACAATAGTTAAGTGAATCTGGCTTCCCCATTGACTTTGCTTGTCAGAAGGTTACAAAACGTGACCACATGACCCCAAGACACTGCAACTATCAGTTGCCAAGTGTCTGAACTTTGATCACATGACCATGGGGATGCTGCTATGGTTGTAAGTGTGAAAAATGAACATAAGTCATTTTTTTCAGTGCTGTTATAACTTTGCAATGTCACTAAATGAACTGTTGTAAGTCAAGGACTATCTGTAAACAGAAGGATTTCAATGATTCTGCCAGCTGAATGCCCCCCTTGAATTAATGGGGAGACCATGTCTGTATTGGCCAAAAAAGGAGGGAGCCATAAATGGGCATGTTGGTTCCATTACATTCCCCAAATGTTTCCTTCTATCATAATGGAAGAACAGGAAGAGTTGCCACATGAGAGAAAAAACCTAGTTATGATATAGACATAAAGCATACAGGAAGTTGCACATTCATGTTTTTTCCACAGACCTTTGTAGAAAGAGAGAGAGAAAAGGAAGAGAAAAAGAACTGGCTGCTTAACGTTTTTTCTTCTTTTGGGTATCACTGATCACGTCTACAAAGGCCCAGTGAAATGAATGGATCTTGTGCTAGGAGTGTCACTTGCCGAATTGAACCAGGCATTGTTAGCATTTGAAAAGAACTGAAACATGCAGGCATGCCTAGCTGAATTTATGAGGAAAGCTTGTTTGTTTTTTATACACTGGAGAAACTGTCTAAAAATAGTTCATCTTTGTGAAAACATTTCTCCTGGAACGTTACCAAGGGCAACAAGGACTTGAATTATCAGCCTTGTTAATGTTCACATAAATCTAGCCTGTCAAGTATTAACTTGTTCAGCTCAGATTTTATAACAGGCCTTCCTTTTCCTGCACTTTTTGGAAATTCCCTCCTCCTGGCCGTTGTGTTTCAAAAGTAGGATTGCTCTTCTAGCATTCAGGCAGCAACCCTTGAACTGAATGTTGGGCCTGCATGTCTTCAGTAAAGGAATCACACTTGCATATTTTCTTTATCAGAAATGAAGGCATTAAAAAAAAAGAAGAAAGATTTTAGAGTTTCTGTTTGATTCTGAAAATCAAAATGGCCTTTCAGATGTAGGAAAGGCCTGGTGAAACTATTGACAGCCTTCTGTTGTTCCTCAGAGGAGAAAAATAAACTGGCTAATGCCAGCACAAGGCCTCTGGTTTTAATCATTCATGTTAAAGAGATTGATCTAATATCAGTATAGCCATTTGTTTGTATGGGTTGAAATCACAAATCTATGTAATTTGTCTTTATCAGTGCCTTTTTAAAATTTTTAAATCTTAGGCATAAAATATGGTCAAATATATAAAGATGGCTAATTAAGGGAAATGTAAACTTTCCATCACTGTCACACAACCTCTCAGTGAGGGAGATAGTCAGTTAGGAAATTTGATATATAAATAGATAGTTGAAATATCTAGGCAGGGTCATTTGTGGGGAAAGGATAAAATAAATAAAATAAAAAATAAAAATAAAATAAAAAACTGCTCCCCCTTGTTTACATGCATCACATGTGAAGTGTATGTAAAAAAGATGTAGGCTTTAATCATATAATCATGGCTACCATCTTATCTTTTTTTTAACCTCACTCCTCCAACATTTGTGATCCCCAACCTGAATTTTTCAAAATCCAGTCTTAATGTGTGTATTTTCAGAAATAAGTTCCACTGCACTGAATAAAGTTTACAAATTCATATGTGCATATAGTACTATTGCCCCAGTGACCAGATAAATTTTCCAATGCCAGAATTCAGACTGAATGCTTCTCTTTTCAATGTATCATGTGTTCAGGGTTGGGATTAATTAGTATCAAAATTACATTCTGAATTCATTTGAAAGTTGATGAGAAATGTGGGATTTTACTTTTCAGATATTTCAATTGCTCGAGTTTGATTTTGAGAAATGTATTTTTAAAATATATTTTCAGTGATCTTGACAGATTTTGAGACAATATCATGCATTAATTTGCCCAGCTTTAGACCAAACAGATCTGCAGAATTGATTATAGTCACAAATATAAATTATAATGTTTAGCTATAAAGTTTTACAGGAAAAAGTCTAACTTTAATGTGAAAAGCATTTGAAGAGTGTTAACACTTCTTTTTCCTTACAAATCAAGTCATTCAATATTAACAATCTGAATATTGCTACTGTTAGATTGTTTTGGTTTACTTAAACCAAAAAATAAACTAAAAGACGCAGCAACTCCAGAATCAAAAACAGGAGTCATCTACAATATACAGTGTAAGGACTGCAACAGCCACTACATAGGACAAACAGGCAAGACTAGCAGAATGCATCCATGTGCACCAACTAGCAGGCAGAAGACATGATGAGAACCCTTTAATTTCAGAACACATGTACAGACTTAACTATAGTTTCAACTGGGAAACTGTGACCATCTTAGACCAAGCCAAGTCTAAACACCTAGAGAATTTCTGGAAACTTAGCACTGACAAATTAGCCATCAATAGACACACAGATATAAAGAACACCTATATATTGTGCAAAAGAGACAATCAACAAGCCCAAAAGATCAAAACACCTCCCCCCAATAATTAACACCAAATATTAACATCAGATCAAGAATCAAGAAGTAAACAATAATACAATCAAGGAACTGCCAAATAAACTCAACAGTAAACAGCTCAACCAAATTTGATCGTGTCACGTGATGTATTGGGACGTATCATGACGTTTTTTGTCTTTGTGGAGATGGGGTGGGCATGGCCTATGCATGACGCATCCGGCCCGCGGGCCACCAGTTTGGCACCTCTGCACTAGAATATAAATTGAGAGTAAACCAAACTCCATACTAGCACTGATGATGTTACCTAATTTGGTTTAATGAAAAATCAAGCTCAGAGACCAGCAAGGACCCCTCATTTAAACCCTGAGCTTGAAATATTCTGTTTTATCGAAATCTGGTTTTGTAATAAATAAGATCCGAATATGACTAAAGAGATTCCTAGTGTCATTAATTTACTTGAAATACAAAAATAAATTTAATAAAATTAATACAATAAATACATTAATTAAAATTAATTAAGACCTGGATTTCTTCAACTTTGTGCAGCGCTTCTAATTAAATTTGAAACGTGCTTAGAGTCTGCATCTGAACATTGAAGTTGAAGCCATCTGCAGTTTCTAAAGCACCATATCTTTTCCCAGTATCACATGACATTTGTAGAACGCTATTTAGGCCTAATAATTAGAAATTACATATTATTTATTAATGTGTAACAGTGAAATGGCTATTATAACAATATAGCTATAGAACTTTACATTTGTTGCCACATGGTTCCTTAAAGGGTATCTAAGGACTAAACAGGATGCTTCAAAACACACACACACACACACACACACACGCACGCACGAACGGACACACATACACACACACACACACACACACACACACACACACACACACAGTCTTTTCCTTTTTTTGGAAAAGGAAATCTGATATCAGAAAAGTCTCTATTGTCCCCTGCTAACCTGCAATAGTTACTAACCTGCAAATCTGCAATAGTTTGCTAATTCCAGTATTAAAAGTCT